GTTATTTTTTATCTCATACTTGTTTATCCATCCACAGGTAAACATTGCCCATTTGTAGTTAGTTTTTAAAAAGGACAGTCATCAGGACAATAATGGTAGATTGTTTCTGATTGCCCATCACCCTGATGATAATATATGGTCTTTGAAAGGCGATGGGCAGTCAAGTAGATCCTAAGTAGTTCAAGCAGTGACTAATGAAAGACACTTTGCAGAAGGAGAAATTGAATTTTCATGACTCTCCGAGACATGTGTGCCCTAGACAAGACTTACAGGATTGAGCACTGAAGGGCAGTGTGTGCGGGGAGGGGGGGGAGGGCAGAATTAATTACTGCATCCTCTTTCACTCCGATTCAAACAAACCCAGCATGCCAACAGCCTTCTCTTTCAATGGAACATCTGTATTTAAAATGTGGTATTTTCATTTGCTCAGTTCTAGATCACCTGCAATAACATGTTGGGGAATTGCTCAGATGGCAAAATTTTACACGCTAGCAGGTCGTTAGTCGCCGACTCAAAACTGCAAAGCGATATGTTTAAATGCTTATGTTTCAATGATAAACTTAAGCTTTTTATTATTAGGTTTATAACCATTGGAAGTACAGTAGAACCTCTTAGCTTAGAGATGAACAGATCTGCTAATTGGCTGTAATTTGTTTGAGACTTCTGATTCACCAATGGTGTGCTAAATTGTGCAGATTACTGTGGCTGGTTGGTTGCATAGAGAAAGGAGACAAGTTGAAACACTACTTTAGTCTCCACAAGGTAAATATGACAGGCCCTATCAGGGGAACTCCGTACCAGCCACCCACAAAGCTGTGTTCGCTATTCCAGAGCACTTCCAAAAGGCAGAGAAGGGAAGTGTTATAACCCAGAACAAATGTTTCACAATACGCTTTTCTAAGTGCAAATGAACTGCACCAGGGCTTAAGTGGTAAAGTGACAATTCATCCAAATACCCTGGTGTGCTGATTAACCGTGCCATAAAACCACATGCTTTGAAAGGTAAAAATAAAAATAATTTGCCTGTGTACTGGAAATCTAATAAAAGGGGCTTGTGTCACTGCACAAGCATTCATGGACTGGTTTCACAACTGTTTCGTGCACAAATTCGAGTGCTGCCTGAGTTCAGAGAATTAGGCCTTCAGGGTTGTGTTAATCGAAGACAATGCCCCATTGAATATTATGTTTACTGTAATTGACTTTCATGGTTTTGCAACATAGAAAAATATTTTTAACACTAAAACATGTTAAATGTCTTCCACATAAACCAAAGAATATATTTTACACTTTCTTTTATTACATCAAGAATGTGAAATGTTGAATAAAGTAATGAAATACACACATTTGCTCACCATAGGGACTGAACCTGTTTCCTTCCACATCCCAAAGCCATGCAGCTGGGGTTTGAGTGGCTGCTCTAAATTGTTCCCCATGGGCTCTGGTCTCTGGTTCCCACTAGCTGACCGAAAGTATTATGGTCACTTGTGGCATTCACTAGGTACTGTAGGTACCTCCACACCTGAAGAATGCTCCATGGCCGAAACGTTTTTTCTTCCTTTTTTTCAGCGTGGAATAAACCTATTACTTGTTCCTTTGCAGCCTACGCATGCTGACGCAGCTACCCACCTGAACTACTAGGTACTGTATAAATATAGCCTCTACTGCTATATTTATTAAAAATACATATGAAATGATTCAAGTACCAATCCATGACGATATGCACTGTGAATTTTTCATGTAAATCAGTACACAGAAGATTCCTTTGAAGCTGGCAGAAAGGCATTCAATGTGAATGAGTACCATAATGGGAAACGGTGAAACAATGAAGATGAAAGGGTTAGAGAAATCCCTACAACAGAATGGGGACAAAGACGATCACTTTGTCATTTCTACCTTCAGCCTCGCCCACAATAGTGTGGACTGCAACTTTTCTCAAGTTTGGAAACTCCTCAACTCCTAAACAAACAATGCACACAGACGGGGAGAGAGAAGCTGGGGGTCAGAGCGCAGGGTCAGCCATTTATACAGCGCCCCTGGAGCAGCTGGGGCTAAGGGCCTTGCTCAGGGGCCCAACAGAATAGGATTCCTCTGCCGGCTGCGGGATTTGAACCGGCAACCTTCCACCCACAGGCGCCGACCCGCTCCACTCAATCAATCAACTAGCAAGTCTTTGGACTGTGGGAGGAAACCCATGCAAACACGGGGAGAACTTACAAACTCTAAAACATCAGCTGTAAATAGCTGGCTTGCTGTACATCAGCCTGAACAGTGAATTTGCATTGAAAAGGAATGAGATCCTGAAGGTGCAAAAATGTCATTTGTTTCACTTCAGCAAGTGAACCATTAATAAAAAAAAAAATGTCACCCCTTAAATAGAAAGACATTAATTTGATTCAACATAATAATAACTGAAGCGAGACTAAATCAGTCAGAAGAGCTTATTTTCTTGAGCTAGGCCTAGATGTTTCTTGAAATCTAATCATGCCATACATAAAAGGGAATTGTAATATGTAAGATAAAAATATCTACCAAATGATTGTGATCTAGAAGAAAAAGACACCACAATTTGTCTCCACCATTAAGAACCAAATAACTCCTCATGTAGAAGCATTCAGCTGTACATAAAATAGTACCACTCTTAAAGATTGCATTTTTCAATATTTAGTTTATAATTTTACCAGTAGAGCATTGCTTTGCTTGTCACTTGACACATTGATCTCACAAGTCTAAATTCATTGGCAATGGCACCTCCTCTGCTTAAATATTTTTCTGACAGTAAGTGAAGCTTATAGAATAAACCCAGTCAGCCAATAGAACATTCTACTTTAGGCTACAATGCCCCCTATTGGCTAGTTATTGTACTGTGTAATGTATAACTTTTTCAGTAGATCCAGTCTAAAAATGGTTAAATCTTCTAAATTGTTACCTTTCCAAAACTTTAAGATCCCACTATAAAAATACATTTTTTTGGTATTTTCTGTAGGAACTCAGTTGTATAACCCCGACAAACGCAGATACTATCCATTTTCAACATCAACCTGAAATACAGAGTACAAAAAGAACTGTCGCAGCTTCCCCTTGCCGAGCAGTTATCTAGAGGCCACGCACATGAATAGAGCCAAAAGTCACAGGTTCTAACACACCTGCTCCAAAGAGAAAGAGCAAATAAAGTATATCAAAAATAGACTGGGCCCACATTTAAATCTAAAGCAGCATAGAATTCATTCCAGTATCGTAGGACTTACCTTCTGAACGCATTCATTTGGTAATTGGAAAATCTGAACTAATCTGAGCTGAACTGGCAAACATGTTGACATCTGGTTCCCAAAGGCACTCGGCCAAATATAACCATTTTCTATAACGGGCATCCCAAATACAGTACACAGCAGCCTAGGGAACAAGGACATTTACTAGGTCCCTATACCAGACTAGTGTACCCAACACAACAGGACAGGAAACCTTTTATGTTTGCATGACTAGAGCATTTAATTAAGCATTTAATTAAAGAAGTGAAGTCTGATGAGAGACAGTTAAGAGTTCAGTGTAATTTTAGCTTGCATTAGGAGCAGACAGGATACCATGCCTGTTGATGTAAGGTGTGTCACTTGTTTTATTCTATTTATACCGCAAACTGGTACACTAATTCCTTGAAACCTACACAAAGTTTATCTTTAATTTTTTTTAATTAAAAATAAAAAACACCCACAGGCTTTCAAATCCAAGAGTGCCTCTTAAACAATAAAATTTAAAAACACTGAACAAGAATGTTTGTTTGAAAAAGGTAAGACAAAGAAAGCACAGGTCTGGCATAAATCTCTTTAGGGTTTAGTTAACAACACCACATACTGTACCAAGATAATGAAGTTTAAAATTTTGGATAAGGCCTGGAATAAACCATAGGGAACTTGGTGATGCCACAACTGTTCTCATGCATAATACAGAAACACAGGTTGCTTCATCTACCACTTGCTGCACTTCATGCTATGATGAGTAGCATTCAACTCATAGATCCATTGTAGAAAACTTGCTGGGACATTTTTACTGAAGACTATACCCCTAACCACTTCATACAACACGTAAGAATTACGAATTATTCATACAGCACGTAAGAATAATTTACTGCTTTCTTGAGATGCATTAAAAACAAATCCTCTTTTGTGTTTCCGGAGCTTCGATGCTTAAAATTTAGCATTTGTTGCAGCTGAAGAGAAAGTTGCAGATGTCCCACCTTGCCAGTAGTTCAGTAGTTTTACTTTTCTGTTGTTATCTATTTTCACTTCTTGTAGAAAAGGAAGTGGTTATGTCCCTGAATTAATCTCCCATCATATGGAAATCAGGATAAACTGACTTTGAATGCTAGAGAATCTGAAAACTGACATGGAAATAGCACTTAGGAAAGCAATGGTGCCCTCTTTTGGTACAAATTAAGAACTGGAAAAATTTAACAAGAAAGTGAATTGAAGCCCAATGTGATCAACTCCCACATTACTTTTCAATCACAAAGAAAGCATAACTGCTGTTACACAATAATCCCAAAGCTTTAAAGCAGCTCAAAACACTTATTTACAAATATATAAATTTGCATGTTTATTTACAAATGTAATAATTCTCTCAGAATACAACAATATTCTCTCTCATGTCTCTTAAGTCTTCTTAACAGTTCAAATAAGCCATGCTTCATCATAAATGTAACAAAAGTTGCTTGCATAGATCGTTATTCTGAACATCAATATGCAAAAATCCAGATACCAGATGTAGTTATAATTTAGATTCACAATTCCATGGCCCTCCCAGTCAGACAAATTACTTGTGAATATGCTTCACAAAGATAAATGAAGAGTTTGGAATAAAATTCTGTTCCTATAGAGACTCTGTTAATGCAACAACCCTTCAAATTTGTCCTAAGGATGGCTCATACTTTCGGTGCTCCCTGGAACTTTCCTGCAGATAGTGTCTTGTAGATGCAGACTTCAGATGAAAATAAAAAAAAAAAGAGTCAGTTTGCTTTTTTAGTGTTTTATTCTTGGCATTTTTATAAAATCAGGTGAATTACTAACAAATTATTTGGCTGTTTTTTCCCTAGAAATAAACCCTGCTATAACGAGCAGAACTGCACTCACCTGCAGAGGGAGCATTACCTGCTTTATGATACAAGTGTAGGTGCTAATGGGAAATGAGGGATGTAGGTGCAGGGAGGTGTCACTGGGAGGGAGAAACACGACTCGAAACCATGCCAGAAGGTAAGCTGCTAATACATCAACACCAAAATACCTGTAAGATACCACAAATACCGGAAATCAAGAATTATTTAAGCACACTCAAGTTAATGAAAATCACTCAATTTAGTGCGTAAGGAGTACACATCACATTTATTCGCTTCTTTCTTTAGTCTAAAACTTTGTTCATAAGAAGGATTTTGTTCATCCATAACCAGCTACTACAAACCACACACACAACAGAAGGAATAAAGTATCTGTTAAAAACAATTATCTCTGTATTGATTATCTCTGTATTCATTAACTAAGTGCTCAAGTGGTTGACTAAGCCTGGGTCATCGCAATGGGGCTGACTAATAGTTTTACTAGGACATTATTTTAAAACAACCACAAACCAATACTCCTAACAAGGGAAAAGGAAGTCTGGGAACCGCCAGTTAAGTGTGCAAATTTCTCATTTCATGGTCCCTTCCTGGCAAATTACCCCATGGCAAGGCCTTACAGTTCTGCAGGCTGACCGAGTCTTCACCACCAGAGAGGAATTCTGGTCTGTGTTCCAACTTGGAAATGATATGTATTTTTTGGCCATCGACTCTCAGGATTCAAAAATTGCCCTTTTGTTCAAAATAAATACTGGTTACTACAACTTGCACTTCTCCCTGGGCCTTTTGTAAACAAAGGTGTCCATTTAATTTTCACAAGGTTTTGTTTTGAAAATCAGTGTTACGCAGTTTTCCCAAAGAAAACTCATCACAAAGGGCCAGAGCCACAAAAGACGTTAACATTACAAAACAAAATAAAGCCCGTCTTCAAAATATAGCAATATAATTTCCAGTGATCCAGAATAAAATAAATTCCTCTGATCAACTGAAAAACCTAGGTTTTTGTTTTGTCCTTTAAAAAAAAGTCAATGGATTGTATTTACAGCTGAGTAAATGCAGACAGGAGAACTTGTGACTTGACAGCCCTGTGAAAGTACACAAAAGAAAAGAGCCTAACAACAGATAACAGAAAAGTATTTAAAAGTCCTTCAAAAGTTCCTGCTCAACGACACGCCACTGCTTTCAGCAGCCTTGAAAATGTTCATCATTGCATAGTTTTTTTTTTTTATTTGTGCACCCCTGCAACATGATTCTCCATGCATGCCAGCCTCCTCCAACCAAACAGACCCCACGAAACTGGCTGTATGCAAACAAACGCCATAGAGGAATGAAAATTCAATGGTGTGATGCAGAATTCGCTGTAAATAGGACTTAAGAGGTCCAGCTTTGTAAAAACATCCAGTATCAGGTGCCACGCCGTAAACACAGCCAGTAATTAAAGCTCAGTTACAAAAAAAAAAGCTCAGTGAAGAAGCTTTGTGAAGTTAAAGTGGGCTGGCACGCTGTTACAGCTGCCACCATCTTTCACTATATTTCTTTAAAGAAAACATTACACAGGCATGTCTTCCTAGAGGTGAAAGTTGGACTGATCTTCTCCCAGCTTCTACAGCTAAAGATCTCCAGGGCTTTCTTTAGCTTTGATTACATGCTTTAAGTACTAAAAGTGCTCTTCCCTTTAACCTGGCCACCTAGAGACTTTGTAGTTACTTAGTGCAACAGCCTTATGTGTTCAGAACACTAAAGGGAAAAGCTAAAGGAAAAGTTAACTTAAAGTGTTTATTGTAACTGTGCACAGAGCTTTGGAGAAAAACAGGACATTACAGAGTTTGGACCCTTATAGTGTTAGAAGGTGACAAAGCAGCAGGTGGCTGTTTTGTGACACTTTGTGACACTGATAATGCCACAGCTCACCTGCACAAATTGCAGCCACCAAACATTTTTGTGCCCCTTTGCATGTGAAATACTGCAGTTTCAACAGTGACATCAAGTCCAAGCTTGTCTGGAAAACATGTAACTATAGAAAACCCTGGAGACTGTAAACACTACAGCAGTCTGTGCTGGGGAGAAAACCAGACAAACGGTGTACCTCACATCAGAAGGCAATGGAAACCGTAGCTTCAGAAGACAAGAGTGAACAATTTTGCCAAAGCCCAGAACCATTCGCTTTCCAGAAAGCTCCTGACATCTTCTTATAAAGCTTCAGGCAGACTCTCTGTGTATGTATATGTTAAAGATAAAGAATCACAGACTGTAACCTTTCACTTATTGGGGTTATTTTAAAAACAACAAGAGGTTCAGAACCACAGAAGAAGGAAATGTTACAAACTGCAAGCTCTCAGTATGTAGGATTAGCTCTTAAATGTTATCTAGAGCTGGTATTTCCACGGCAATACTATCTTATTCACTCTGACAGAATATTATTATAATATTTTTACTTTTTAGATAGGCCACGAAAAAAGCAAAGACTGTATATTTGTACACTCACTGCTCTTGGAAATTTCTAGTGCTAACTAATGACTGCACTGCAGTTTTATTAATTCTGCTTCAGTCAAAGTTTGAACATGGAGCACTGACAGAATTTATACATACAATTTTCAGCAAGATCAGAATACAACAATTACAAATCTCTTCAATGTGTTACGAACCAACAAATATGTGTTGTCCTTCCAGTGAATGACCAGCTTTACCCATGTCCAAAGACCGATTATTCAGCTGGGTCATTGGCAAATTAAGTACTTTCTGTCAGTGCAAAGTGACTTGTTTAAATTAATTTCACTCATATGGCCCACTCTCCACAGAGAAATTCTGACTAAAACTACAGTTCCCATTATCCCTTTTACATTTAAATTACTGTCAAGACTAAAAAAAATGTTGTTTTTGTATCAATGAGGTTAAAATGGAAAAAAAAGGGTAGTAAAACAGTGAGATCAACACAGTCTTTATATTTGTACTTAAAGAATACCAGGTGTTCTACAATTTACAGGTTTTTACCACAGTACTAGTGAAGCTCATTTGGGGCTTTCAGCCTTTTTTGTTCAATTAGCAATACAAAATAAAAAGTAAATTTCTTAAGTCTTCAGTGCAACACTGTCTATGGAGTCAAAGACTTTGTTTAGTCTGCAATTCACATTACAGCAGAGAAGCGGTGCATCTGGCAAACCTTTTGACAGTCCCGAATCAGTGAGAATAACAGGCAGTAAACAAAAATCCAGTGTAATGAGTTTAGATGAACTTGGCTCAAAGTGTTGCAGACAGGAGGCTAACCAATACGATGTTTCAGAGATGATTGAGGCCATCGACTGTGAGGAGGATGCCACACCATTTCATTTTGTGACAGGAGCGAATATACGACTGCCCACTCCCACATGCACAGAGCAATCACATCATGTGTGACTAAGATAACAGACAGATCTTCTCATTTCACTGGACAGATTTTAATGTAGCTCTGATCTTGATTTTTCTGTGCAGTCTATAGGTGTGACAGTAGATGTGGGTATGAGCTGCAGGATAGATGCAAAGCGCTCAGCAGGTCGGTCCCATAAAGACAGAATAAAGCTCTTTATTTCGGTCTAAAGTTCCACAAGGCAGAGAAATGAAACTGAACACGAAGACGCAAGTTTGGCATTCCAGGATGATCTAAACATCGAATTTCTGCTTGAAGAGTCACGAGCTGCCAGGAGAAGGACTATACAATTTACCGGTACACCAAGTGTGATATGGAGCTGGATTTATAGTTAAGCTGGTGGTTGGGCACAAAGTTATGGTATGCATTCTTGCGGGTACATACATCTTTAGAATAAAGGTTCATGCAACTGTCACAGGACACCTTGGAGCAATTCATACAGGTGTGAGTAGCGCTTGGCTTGTTACAGAACCCACACCGTGACCCACTGATGGCACTGCTGCTGGTGGAACTTGGCTTACCGGTAAAAGGCTTGGAGGATGACAGCGGCTTCTCTGAGAGCTGGGAGTGAGCATTTGAATAGACGGATAATTTCTCTTTAGTGGGCAGGTATCCGTCACTGGAGCGGGAGGTTTTGGGGAAATCCTGCAATCCACAGCAAGGGGACGGCTCTTCCGCGTGGCAGTTGGGACACAAGATCATGTCGCACTTCTGACAAGAGGTGAGGCTGCTGGTGTATCCCACACCACAGCCCTGGCATTTCATACCCATGGAGGGCCCAGCAGGGCTCTTTGTCCCCCAGCCCTCCCTGCCGTCTCGACTCTGCTGCCTGGAAGATGGTGGGCGATAGCCGACCCGATCTGTGTAGAGGTCAACCCCGTCAAGGGAGGAGAGGTGGTAGGAGTAGGTCTGGCTAAGCTCAGGAAGGGGAGATTGAGCAGGAAAGAAATCTGCCACAGGACTGTAGTGTGGCCCCGCCACAGACAGCAGCGAGCTGTTGGGCCGGATGATTTCGTCCTGCAGGTCTTCCTCCGCGTCCACAAAGAGAGGCTCCTTCCGAAGGCTGAGCGAGGCCTTTAAGACCGGCTTACTGACCTGCTGCCAGTGACCCGCGCCGTCAGTCACGTCCACCGATTTCGAGGTCCGGTTGGCTCGTTTCAGGTAGGCGCGCTCCGCTTCGGGCTGCCGCACCGAGAGCCGGGACACCTCTCCCGCCAGGACCTCGCGCCTCCGCAGGGCCTCCGCACAGCCCGCGGCGTCGTCGCGGCTCATCCGTCGCATTTCCACGGCTTCCACTTCCGACGTGCCCCCGCCCGCCAGCACGGCCACTTCTCTCAGAAGACGGCATTCTGCCCGGGCCAGAAACAGCTCGAAGGCCAGCTGGCGGAGGTGAGGCGCTCCTCCTGGGTGCTCACGAGCGTGAAAGTGCATCTCCTGATCTCGGGTGTAGCCTATGGAGCGCAGCAGGGAGCGCAGGTCCGAGTCACACAGTGCCGACTGCAGGTAGTAGATGTAAGGGCCTGTGAAGGTCTATAATAAACACGGTGAGAGAAAGCGTTACATGACATGCCTATGGGTTCTTCTAGTTATAGATTATACAGCTTCAACTTACTGTACTGCTTTGCTGACAGACTAACTGCTACTATTAACTAAAATATAATTTCTTCACAGATAGTTTTACTTTGCTAACCTGAATATGCATTCAATTTCGTTTTAGATAAGATACTGTTTGAAACCTACAATTCATGCATGCACATTTTGTAACCGCTTTAAACCATCTAAATGGTTTTAAACCATTTCAATTGCTCAAAACATCTAAAAATCTGGCTTTAAAGCTATAAAGCCTTGATCTTGATCTTAATTTTATTAAGCAAATTTGCTTCAGTGAAACTTTTTCTACTATGTATTTGATTTGTTCTACAATTCCATGATCTAACCACAGCTGTCCAACCTGATCTCATTAAGCTAGAATAAAAACAAGCAAGAGACTGACAGTTGCTAACTTTGGGGTTCAATGATAATTTGTAGGTTTCTAAATGGCTTCATCCAGAAATGAAGCCTGAACTAAATAACAGAAAACTAGAAAAGCATCACTATCCGTTCACTCGCCATGCTGCTGGGCACCTTGTCTTCTGGCATCACGTACCTTAATGCTGCGGAACTCTTTTTTCCAGGGGTACAGCAGCAGGTTGGTACAGATGGTCTCCAGGGTGGCAAAAGCCGTCTCTAAGGCCTGCAGGCTGGAGCTCCTCAGGGTGCGCAGGGCGTTTTCCGCCACCTCATAGAACCGAACGAGCCGGAACCGCTGAGCTGGATCCACTTGGTAGACACTGAGTAGAGCCGTGGCAGCCGCATGGAGCCCAGTCTCAACCGCCACCTGCTGCCCATCGCCTCCTTCCTCCAGCCTGGACTCCAGGCACTGCACATACCTCTTGAACAGGTCCTCTCGCAGCTTGGGATCCATTTGGAGCAGCAGGCTGGGTCACTGCCTGACTCGCATAATCACCCCCTGCTTCAAAGACTCTCCAAGACAGCTGGGAGAAGGCCTGCTCAGACACGCTGCTGCGTCACAAGTTGCCAAGACGTCACCGTTGGACAATGCATGGTAGCCACATTTCTTCTGTTCAGCAGGAGATGCTGCACCTTGAATTTCCCATGGGGATCTTGGACTTGAAACGTCCCAGGCTGTTTCACTCATGAATAAGCAGTGAAACGGGAAGCGGAGTGCACGTTCACATTGTGTGAAGCAGGTTATCTGAATCCAGAAATCCAAGCTCCGGAGGCTATGCCAAGTAAACCCCGTCTTCAGTGCAAAGTATGGGAATAACAGGCCGCTGAGGGATGACCGACCAGGCTAACCATCCGCACGATTCCCCGGGCTGCAAGACAGAAGAAAAACATGCCTAAAGAAACTACTTAAAGAGATTTTTTTTATTAATGTAACAGCCAGTTAGGATTCAATCAACATGTCAGGTTCTGCCTGATCTCAAGCACATTTTACTCAGCTGCTATAAACTGCTTGACTATACATGAAAGTACTGATTTATTTACAAGCAAGCATTCCCTGCACACTGTTGAATACACACACTGGTAACGGCAAGGATGGACACATTTCGGCTAGTATTTTTGTTTATAGAATATCTTGAACACACATTTTTTCAAGGGTTCCAGGTTCCCACCGCAGCAATATTAAAAAAAAAAAACCCAACACCTGGGATTAATGCAGATCTGCAACATGTCCGCCTTTCACACTGAGAATTTGTTACTGGCAGAAACTCTGTAATGGAGGAGGCAAATCTAAATGGTTCCGCAGGTGTGAAAGTGTGTGTACACTGTGTAAATCAAGCCTAGATAAGAGCCCACGACAACACATTTTCTGGAAAGTACTGTAAATCTTAGAATAGGTCAGCGACATTACAGAGCAAGGAAAAATCTTACAAAGATTTTATAGAGGCACATTTTGTAAACGTTGGCAGATACAGAACAACAATTACAGGACAGGAAAAACATGGAACTTGTTTTTTTGTTGAAAGACTCATGGCTTTTTAAATCTGCTGTTTCCAGATTTTGTGGATTTAAAATACACCTCATAGAGGTGTTCCTGATGAGCACTGTTACTGAAAACATGAAGTGGTATAATAAAGTTAAAACTTTTAATCTTTTTCAGATAAAAAGTCCATTGGTACCATTGTATTAAAGCACAATGTATTTATAACCATCTCCTTAAGCATAAAGTGTTTTTCACTTTTCTAACTATAAACCCCCTGATGTCACCTTAAGTGCTAGAATAATTTACAAAAGCCATCACAATATTTTGAATCCCAAGGAACATATTGTCTTTAAAACATAAACACATAACCAATGTGCAAATATCTCCTGCTTCTTTTAAGACATGCACAACAAACCTCAAACTACAACTGATGTCAATGTTTCAGGATGCATCCCAGTACTATAGCGAGCAAGGCAGAAATCGTTTGAATGACTGCGAGCATCACATCAGCCACTACGGCTGTTTATTGCTAACGTTTAGTGCTGTATCCTTGCACATAACAAAACGGGGCTTTGCGGGAAGAATTTGAAAGGGCAATCCGAGAAACATCCACAAAAGGTCAGTAAGGGTTGTGTGATACCTACTGTGATGCTCCAGGTTTCACTCCAACTGGGCTGCCCACTGCCAGGGCTGGGTAAGCTAAGGACCCTTGTCCATAAAAAGACCGTTCACATTGAAATTCTTCAAAAAGGGGACCTCTGCTGTTTCGGACTCCCTGCACATTCTTAAGTCCAAAAAAAGCAAAGGATTGTGTGCAGGACCTGGAGGCTGGTCGCAATACGTGCATCGCCTCTCCACCACACAACGTGTAGGCGTCGGAGACGCCTTCTGTAAAGGCCACGGGCGGAAGAACTGAGCATTTCCCTCGTGTCAGATTTTACTAGGGCTGTATAAGGCTCCACACTAATCATGTCCTTTGCATGGGTGTTTTATTCCAAATATCTAGTTTCTACGCGTGAATTTTCAAAATTTACTTCAGCCTCGCTTATTGGTTGAAACAGTCCAAACCTTTACTAGAAAATCTGGGGTGTATGAAACTAGCCTATCGCCTTAACAATCAAGCAGATACGATTCTGCAATTGCAGGCTGTCGCTGTTTAACTGGATCGGTTTCAGGGAGCCGAGATCATTATCTGAGCCCATCAACCTGGCACATTTTATTAATATTTTTAGGCCGTTGAAAATCTCATCCAAGATGTGCGATACTGCGTGTGTGTGTGTGTGGAAATGTCTCCAATTCTGGCGAGCGTCAGTGGATGTGCATGCAATCCGTCCACGGAGCGAGTACACACCCCCAGCCCACTGAATCGCGGATATGACTTTCTCAATCGCCCAACGAGCGGAGCACAGTAACGCTAAAAAATGCAGAAAAATTCATAGCTAACAGATGTAAAACGAAACATCTTGAGGGAGAAAAACGTCACCTTTAGATAATTCCCGAACACGAAAAAAAAATCTGATTTATTTTATACATGTTTTTTTCTATTCAAGGAAGCCAATAAGACTGGTTCCGGTTTTCCACTACACGCACACCCTCTTCCTTACTGTCGTCTAGAATGATGACGCCTGACCCATCAAACATCATTTTTACACGGAGGCAAAGATCATTTCTTGACTTGTCAGTTACTCGGACTCGGCCCCCATCAACAGAGTGGTTACAGCCGCCTCAGTGAATCTACATACACAGATTATAAAACAACGCCTTGAAACCCTAATGCGTACAACCAGCAACCAGTCCCTGCGCCCGCATGGGCAGAACTGCGTTTTGGCAGTCACAAGTCAAACAGACGCACTGAGAAATGCTTCATTTTAAACCAGCCGAGCTGTTTTTAAAAGACGCCACCATACTCTCCCCACTCCTTACCTTCGCATTCTGCTGGAAATCCCCACCGTCTCTCTGCGCATGCGTTACGTAGCTTACGCCACTCCACGTGCGCGTGAACTCAAAACCAGGCGCCGGGTATGCGCGCTATACAGAACAACTTTCTAAATAAAATGTTTATATACACCCCGACAAGGGTCGCGGCAACCCGGGATCTATCACAGAAAAAGAGGTCTGCTTCCTCTGGTCCCCAACCCGGATCCCGAGATTAGAATATCCTTCATCCCTCAAAGCATAGTGTTTCATTATAAACATTACCTGGTATTGAGCATTTGCTTAAAAAAGAGTTCCTAATCTTTAAATAACAGGTATTTTTGGCTGATCTATATGAATAATTGGATTGGGTCTTTCCAGGACCAGGGCTGAAGACCCCTGATTTAGAGAAAGTAGTTAACCCAGCCAAGGAAACCCACACAGACATGGGGTGAACATTCAAACTCCCCAGAGAGAGAAACCTACAGTAGGTCATAAATGTGTGATTCCCAATGGAAGGAAACCGCACTTACTGTATCTCCACACCATGATGCCTCCCAAACATTTATCAATTAAGATAAAAACAGATCTTAACATTTTTAGGAAGCACTGAGCATGCATGTTCAAAGTGATATTAACTTTCAAAAGCCGTCACTGAGAGTTTCAGGGAAACTGTCTTATATATACAGTATCTAGATGTTGAGAATTTCCCTAGAACAGAAGTACTGGCTGACGGTTTTGAGTTTAAAAGGCCATCCATAAAAAAAAAGAAAATTCTAAATAAGATCATGTGTTCTCCTTAAGATATACAGTAATTACTCCTGCAGTATCTCCTTGAAAACAACTATTTTCATGAAATGGCAAAATATGTATATGCCCAGAAATGAACCTTAATCGAGGTGTTAACCCTGGCCAGGTATGGTCAAGAGCTACAATTTCCGCTTTGTCTTCACTTCGCCCATGTCCTAGGCAGCCGCTATGTAGTTTGCTGTATTCGCCCCTCCTACAGCAGGTTCAGAGCTGACGCGATATTCGTGGCATCTTACACGGAAAAGACAGGAACAGGAGCGGCTGTGCGAGAAATGGCGATGTTTGGGGGCTTAGATACTGTTCTTAAGAAGAAAACCACGGAGGATGGCGAGAGAGATATGCCAGAATTCGTGTGCCCAGTGTGTCTAGAGATTTTTGACCGGCCTGTTACAACACAGTGTGGGCATACGTGAGTCTCAATACATGGTCGTTTTTTTAAAAATATTTGTTTATATGGGTGGAGATATATCCACAGCCCATTTTTTTCTGTTTTTAGTTTTAGTTCTGTCATTTGCTTTAGTCTCCTAACCGTGATAATAAAACAGTGCCTGCAAAGTAAATGTATATATACATCTAACATTAGTTTTCATGTTTTGAAACAGGATTCAAAGCTTTAACATGCTCAATTGTCATTTTATTTAGTATTTTCAGGCTGTATGTTAGAATGATAAACGCTTGTACTTTCACTTTTGTTTACATCTAAGGAGTGTGCTGCATTGTGGGATATGTATTTTTTGTAGCGCTGTCAATGGTTTAAATGTTAGGGTGTTGTATTTGCAGTCGGACTACAAATCACAGAAACCCCCGTTACCTAAGGGTAATTTATTTTTAGATTTCGTCCTAAAAGAAAGTGTTTAAGGTTTCTTTTCAGCTTCCAGACAGCTTCATTTTTGTGGCGCGATAAACGCATAAATCGAGTGGTAGTGATTACATACAAAAATGTTGTTAGAATTTTAACTTTTTAAATAAAAATCTTTGGTTTATACAAATGTTCTCAACTTTATAAGTCTCATTTGTTTTTTTTTATAGACCATCGCGATTTAACAATTCTCATCGGGCGTTAAAGAGATGTTAGGGTTATTTTTTTAAATTTTACGATGTCTTTAATTTCCGTACATAATTATTTACTTCGAAGCTCGCTCTGTTAACAGTTCCAAACATTTTACACTCGACAGATAACCAGGAATTCGTAATACCTGTGGTGCATGTTTTTCTCACTAATTGCACCCATAAGTGCAGACTCCCAAGTTCCACGTTTTTTTTAGGAATGAAGAAGGCCTTAGTTACAGATATTTCGTAATAGTCAAGTACGAGTATGTAGCTACGGATTCATCTGTTACGAGAAAAAACAAGTGAGTTATAGCTACTGTATCTACAGAAAGCTGGGACATTACTATAGAAACCTTCAAGTATTTGTTGTAAAATTAACAAAAAGGAATATATGAGAGCGTAGGCTACTTGCCCTGTCCCTCACAAATTCAGAGGTCTACTTGTTAGTGCTTACGAATGAGAATAGTCGTTCTCATTATCTAAAAAAAAAATGGGTCAAGATATTAGGACTCTGAAACGGTTACTGTAATGCTATGGGGGGTGTTAACGACGATTCCTGTCTTGTTTTAAACGGAAAAATAACCGTTCATGATTACGTTTTAATTCAAAGAATGATAAGTTCTGAAATGTAACAGACTGCATTTCTTGTATAGGCCTACATTTTTTAATTTTTAGATGTTTCCTTTTGGGAATGAGGAGAAGAAAACTGACCTGACTTTATAATGCCTTCTAATGATATAAAAACCCCATAATCTCCTAGGGGATTAAATCGAAACACAAGGCAACATTGTACCACAGCCACTGCAATGGCTAATATCCACAATTCCCTCTGTTCTGGCACTCACTTGGTTGCTCATAGCGGATCTGGAATCTCTTTGCTAAGTACTCTTGAAAGCCAAATCCAGAACTTTTTTCCCCCCACTGTGACTCAATTAATGCTCAGCTGAGCTTTTTTTATAATAATGCAGGAAGTCATGTGATGAACCAAATATCAGACTAGACGAGCTGGTACCTACAATGCAAGCTTCATGATAAGGTGATTCATGACCATGGGGGAAAAAACACAGCCAACAACAGGGTATCCCCTAATTAATAATGTCATACATTTAAAAAAAAAGTCAGCTGTCTGAAAAAAATAGTTCTGCTCTGCTTTTATAATTGAGTAAAAGGATACATTTATGATTTTTAAACTCACTAGTTGCTTATCCTTTAGGCAAACTGGTATCAGATTGAAATAGAGAGAATGAAGAAGTGCTCTTATACATGCACTGTAAAATAAAAGTATTAGCTGAAGCTTCCAGGGGTAAATTATTGTATTATACCCTTTGCTATCTAAATCAAATTTAACAAGGATATACTGTGATATAGTTTTATTAGGAATTTGTGTCGGCAGAGAGTCGATAAGAGCAAAACTCGGGAATAGACCAGACTGATGTATCTACTTGTTTATGTGCGATTAAAAATGTTTTTTTACACTTGAAATCTGTAGCCCACCCTTTTTTGCATTGCTGATTTTGCCCTGCACATATTGTACTCTGCATATCCAGTTAATGGTATTGCACATTGTGATGTATGATTGTCTATACTATCTATATAAATCTATACTTGGACCGTAATCACTACTGCTCGACACCTGCACTTGTCTGTTCCTGAGCATTATGTTATTTTTGCCAATATACTGCATATGCTGAAGTTGTCATTTACTAGGTTTTTGTTTGCTTTAGTGTGTTATCTGTTTTGTTCGTCCACCTTTTGCCAGTGATCTTAAGCAACTGTGTGACACACTGGATAAGCCCCACCATAAAACCGAGGCTTAAGAAAGGGGTCTGCTTTTTTCCCAAAGGTTCTGCAGCAGCTGCTTGCAGGAATGCCTGCGCCCCCAGAAGCCTGTGTGTGCAGTTTGCCGGACTGCTCTCAGCAAGTGGTCCAATGCTGTAGAACTGGAAGCAATCATTCATAGTTCGCTGGGAGCCTGCAAAGGCTGTCACACAGAGGTGAGCATTGTACTATCCTCTGGTGTTGAGCGAGAGAGGTCATACTGATGAAGGGGTATCGGCAACACTTAGGAACAGTGTATGCTTGATAACATGAGCCATTTTGTATTGATGTGTTTGTTCTGCGCTAAGGGCTGTATTTCCATAAGTTGACTATGTGTACATTTTATCTTTGCATTCAGAAAGGGTGGTTAAAAGACAAATCAACCAGGCTTGGGCAGCGTGGTGGATCAGTGGTCAGTATTGCAGTTAGTATTGCGGCACTGGGACGCAGGGATTTTATATTGTTCTCCTCATTGTCATAAGGTTTTCCTCTGGATGCTCTGCTTTCCTCCCTAAGTCATACTGGATTCTGGCAAATTGGCCCTGGTGTTATTATGTGTGCCCTGGGATAAACTGGTGTCCCATCCAGGGTGTATCCCGCCTTGCGCACTTTGCCTGTCGGGATAGGCTCCGGCTCCGCGGCGATCCTGAATTGGATAAAGCAGTTAGAAAAAGGATGGATGGATCAAGCAGACATTAAAAGAATGTGTTTTCACACTCGGTGTTTTTGCTGGAATAATTCCTGTGCAGCAGGACACTTAGTACTTATTAACACTCAAAATCAGTGCTTATTTCTTATTAAAGAACAGCTTGGGCCTTCTGGAACTGTGTGGGCATACAAGAACTGCACTTGTCTTTTGTTTAAAGAAATGAAAACTTCTGCCTGCGTAATTACTCTCAAGTCCTTTGCTTTGCCTGACAGGTGCGTCTGTCCCAGATGCGGAGCCACACAGCTGTCTGCCCCAAGTATCAGGAGTATATTGATGAGGGGGTGAGAACTGTTGTGAAGTCCCAGCCCTCTGTGGTCAGGTAAGAGGATGGGCTTTCCATCTACTTCCATCCACATTCTGCCCTGTACTTTCTGGATGCGGTCAGGATTCTTGCAGGATTCTTGCTGTGTGTTTACCTTCCTTGTTATCTTTGCTGATGATACTCCGCCCATCTCAGCTGTTTCTTTTCAAAAATAAGATGCCAGTAATCGGATCTTCTCAGGGTCTTTTAGGTTTAAAAGAAACAGGACTTTGTGCAACCTGCCGGTGCGGTGTCCCTGAGGGGAGTTCTGCAAGGATGAAATCTTTCTTTCCCTCCCAGCTCGGTTCCAAACCGTTACACTTTCACCTGTCCCTACTGCAACGTCCAGAACCTGGACCAGGACGGGCTGGTGGAGCACTGCACTTCCCAGCACTCCAGGGACTCCCGTCATGTGGTGAGCGGCACTTCCATGCTCCGAAAAAACTTGTGAATTCTCCCTCTTAACGTAGGCCGCGAAGCTTCTTTTTTGTCCGGAGTGTTGGAACTGGTGGATGTTTAATTTTTTTCTACCTGCCCGGTTTTAGATCATCATCTGTTTGTCGAGCCGTCGTGCTCGTGCAGTCCCCTGTACTACACAGAAAGACCACGGGCCTGTGGGCGCACTCATCCCGCTGTCAGAGTCACTCTCTGTTTGACTCTCTGCAAGCTCCACCAAGGGGAGAGGCAGTTCATCTCTCACGGGCAGCACTGCCTGACAGGTCCCCTGGGATGATGCTGTTGAGTAGCTAACAGTGAAAGACCTGGTTGTCTCAAGCTTGACCAATTGTATACTGACATTAGGGGAGTAACAGCTGGGTAACGATGCAGCCCAGGCATGAGGCACTTGGAGTCTAAGGATTAGTCAAGTTCAGCCACCCTTTAGGCCAATTTCAAGCCTCTTTTACTGAGTTTGAAACGTTCCTGTCAGACAGGGCTTCATTGCTCTGATGTATATGTCAGAAAAACCAGGCTGCTGATGTAAATAATGCTATTGGACTAGTAAAGTGGCAATCTTCCATCTGAATTTCCAAACTAATGCCCCAGTAATCCAAAGCCATACTGTTTATGGTCAGATCCTTAGACACTGTTTGTAAGAGAGAGCACTTAACCTTGGTATTCAGACTAAATTCATTTTTTTTCCTAGTCTGCATAGTCTGGCATCCCTAAATTTCCTCTCTGTTTCAGCTGGTTCAGTAATGTCTCACTTCTGCACCTGATTTGCTGTGCAGCTTGCAGTGGCATGCAAGCAAGTACTGCACTTCACTGGTGGATGAAGTGGGTCGCCTCCTGCATAAAGTGCTTTGAGACCTTGCGAGATGCAAAATGTTTTATAGATGCAAGTAATTGTTATTATCGTCATCAAAAATATCTTCCTGTCTCAATTGCCTAGCCAGGTCGTCTTACCAAGTCAACCTAATGAGTAGGCCTTGATGAGCTCTGCTGTCTCTGCATGGCTCATCTCTTCCCTGTTCAGTTAGGGTTTGTTCTTGTAAGAAGTGGAAAATTAAATCCATTCCTGTTTGTTTTGCTGGCTTTAAAATAAACTGTGGAAATGGGTGGGGGCTTTGTAGGATCCTTAGAGACCTTACTTGTTAAGAATATACTTTCTGAAGTATATTCAATTGACATGTACTCATTGCTCATCCAGAACATGGTAAGTTCAAGGAGAAAACATGAGGATGAGGAGATGACCGCTATTATTATCTAGCAGATCACACTGAAATACTATTGAATCATATTCAAACAGATACCATTATACATGAAAGTGCCACTTCTGGAAAAAACAATTATCAAAGGTTGCATTTGGATTTATTTAATTGTGTTTTAATTTTGAGGTGTGTCCTATTTGTGCCTCAATGCCTTGGGGAGACCCAAACTACCGGAGCGCTGATTTCTTCCAGCACTTAAAGATCCGTCATACCTTCTCCTATGATACCTTTGTGGTGGGTAGTGTTTCATTAATGTGTTTCTTTATATAAAAATGTATTCTCAGAGAGCCATCCTGTAGGTGAGGCGCAGTTTAAACTGTTCTATCTGAGGGACTGCTTTTCTATCCATCACCACGGATCCCTGGTTTATAATCAAAGCATAATGTTTTAGCTATAATGATAGAATTGATAAGAGTGCTTATGTTCTGCATTTGGCCTTCTGTAGTGATAACCATTTATATGCTCATAAACTCTTTTTCAGTTAGTTTTCAATGCTACTCACCAGTTTATGCTGCCAATAAAGATAATCCAGCAAGTATTCTTTCATATCCATATACCTATTCAGTAGCTCTTTAATCAGGACCTGATCTGAAGGAAAAGCCTATGCTTGAGAGTTTAAATCTTGCGCTGCAATATTTTCCCAACTAATCCCTAGAATGTCGTGAGGCCAGACCCTGGTCTGGGAACCCTTAGATTAGTTCACTTAACCCCATCTCTCACACCAACAGTGCTTTCTGGTCATGTTAAAAATCTAGATCTTGCCATGACGTCGGATTTGTGCATGCAGCAGTCCATAGTTAAAGGGCTAACATGGGTTGGTACCTCTCCCCTGTCCTTCCCAGGATTATTCCTCGGATGAACACACCATGATGCAGGAGGCCCTGCAGCGCTCCATGCTAGACCACTAAGGATCCCAGGAGAACAGGAGCTCTCCCCTGCACAGAGTTCTCATGCTTACACAGGGAAGCAGGAATCGTCCTCCTGTTCTAAAGACACAAGCCACTTCAACCACTTTGTATCTCACACTTCCTTCAAACCTTTCAGCCACTCTAGTTTATTAGGAATTAAAGCACTTCAGAATTGGCAACTTTAAAATGTTTGTGAAATTATTTTGTAAGACAATTTCATCTTCCAGTTGATTTTATTTTATATTGGCTGATGTACTTCTAAAATTATTTTTTTAGATCCTTGATTTTTAATAACAAGATGCATCTGTCTAAAGTTATTATTAGACCTGGATGATAGTAAGGAATAAATATCATTTAGTTACTGGTAGTGAGTGTATTTCCATTTCTCTGTAAATCTTTAAGGTAAGAATTCCATCCAGTGACTGCACTGCATTATTACCACGCGGTTCATTATTGTAAAGTATGGCAAACATCTTAAACCAGCTGTACCTATTGAGTAAATCCACCAGATGGCACCCTTCGTCCATGGGTACAATGTCAGTTTGTCCATCTCTGAATTCTCCTTTAGAAGCTGAGAAAATGTTAGACTGCAGATGGATCACAGCATTGCAGAATGTTCAGGACACCTGTGATTGCTCAGGTGTCCACTGCCCTGGTACTGGATGGAATTAGCAGCTATGAAAAGGCACTATTACAGTCAGGAATCTGCTTCTTATTAATCTTATTTCCAATAATTTGCACACCATTTCCAGAGTCATGCATATTATTTTGATTTCTAACACATTTACATGTAGAGGAAAAACTCACTGTGAACTCAGAGATCATTGGAAGGCTTCATTCTGGGTCTACTGCTCATGCTCTTGGAGCTCTTTGTTATTGTATTGTTATCTTAAAGGAGTTAACTTGAAGTCAGTCATCAGTCACTGCATGGTTTGATTTCTCATTTGGAAACTTAACACTACTGTATAAAAAAACTGCATATTTCCCCTGAAAAAGAACATGTGTCACAGAGGTTCATCGGGGTTCTGTACCTTGTTTAAAAATAGTTGATATGAAAGCAGCAATACTTGTTAACATTGCAGTTCTCAGAAGTGTTAAACTGGACCACAAAACGTCCACCAGATGTCACTGTGGTTCCCTTTTTTTAAAGGGATATACTGCTGCCTAACTTAATTACACCATCTTTGCTCAGATATTGAAAAGTACAAAACCACAATGATTTTGTTATGATGTCATAGAAAAACCCCTACTGTTTAGGGCTTTGGTAGAATAGCCTAAAATTGTAAGTTTTTAAGCTGTAGGTGTGCTTTTTAGTTGAGAGGTTTTCTCTGCTTACCTCACTATAAACAATACACACAGAGAAATGAGACTAGGACAAATTAGGGATAGCTGCTGTAGGAAATGGCTTTTGTGATGTAACTTTCAGTGCACCTTGGTGTATTTGGTGATATAAATGTGATATTACGAAGACATAAAAACATAAAAGAAGACTTGTATTCTCAGGGTAGTGTATAATAAAATGTATCGGGTAATATCTCTTAACTGTTTCATGTTCAAAAGTTTGCACACTTTCCTCCCTTTTTGAAAGCAAATTGCTTGAAGTCCTGTTGGTTTTACTACATTTTCTGAAATGAGTGGAAGAGTGAAAGTTCTCCATTTTTGTATTTTTCTGTCGTCCCCCCCAAAAAATAGTTTTCAAAGTAGCATCATTGTGACCTACAGCTCTTGATAAAAAAAGCATGTGATCAAGCATATCCCTGTTATTTAGTTTGTCGATATCATGAATGGAAGCGTTTCATCGTGAATATATTGAACTGAAGCTTTTACGTAAAGCAGCTTGCGTTTGTCCCCATTTAAAGAAGCCCACACAGCTTGGCATTTAACTGAAGAAGCGTACAGTAGGTGAAGTATGATGCTGAGGGACACAGCCCACCAATAGTCCAGAGCCCTACTGCTTCACCCTACAAACAGAACCCTCCGTTCTGGACCAAAAAGGCAGGAAGATGTGCAAGAATGTGTCCACGATTGTGTGCTAGCTATGTTTTTATCTGTTCTAGCTCTGACCTGACACGGGTGGCGCAAGCTTTAGACCTAAAGTGACTGCTTGTGGTTGGGCACTAATTCTGAATTAACACCAGCAGTGTCACCCCACACACTGCACCCTGCTTGTCCCTAATGGAAATGGTCAGCTTGAAGAGACTGGAAAGAGATTGAAACCTCATTTATTTCTGCCTCCTCACAGTACCTGAAACAGGCCCATTTCTAAATAATTAATCTTGTAAGTACTTATCACATTTATCATCTTTATGGACGGGGAAACTAATGTGGCTGAGGATACTATACATTTTTTGGTAAGAGGTAGCTTAATGACTTCCCTGGGGTGGGAATCCTGTTCCGATTTGGGAAAATTTTGTGTCTAAGTTTGTAATGTGGAAGGAATTCAGTAATTATATACATAAAAATCCAAATTCTGGATTAGCCTGTCAGTGTAGGCTGTGTAGTTGGGAGTAGTATTACTTCACTATAGGATCTTTTTGGTTTTGGTCCTGTCACCAGATGTACAGTACTGTACCACTGCCCACTTCCTGAAGATGAAGTAAGCCTTCATGTAGCACAACACTGTCAGCGAGATCTTTTATCTTTTCTACAGCATTGTGTATGTTGAAATCGATTTTAAGATGAGTTGCTCCTTTACAGTGTCCGTTAAGTGTCCCTTTTTATAGGAAACAATAAAAGGAACCTCTTTTAAATACGCTTTCTAATTTGCTTGCTGCAGTAGCCAAACCCCATTCTTGTATGTAAAGTTATTGGATTTTTGCCTTTAACAGCTATAATAATATTCTCTTCTCATTGCATATGGAATTCATACAATGTTACAGCATGTAAAAAGAGGTTCAGGTGATTTTATCCATTACATTGAATACAGTATGTATAGAAAACTGTGTCCTGAAAGAAATTTGCACAATTGAAATGTAAGCTTACTGTATATACTCAAATGTCTTTCGGGATTGAGCTGTAAAAGGGACACTTATTCACAATTAAATTATGGTATATGCATATTATTCATCATTACATTTTATTTTAATAAAGATTTTTTAAATGTCACTAATGTCAGTTTTTTCCATTAAACGAACGGTTTCAAGACCAATGTGACAAGCGGAAGATTTTCTCCTTGTGATTGTTAGTGGAAAAGTATTTTGATACAGAGATACATCATTTCTGTATCACTCAGTCTGGTGAGCAAATTGATCTGCCTTGCACTTCTTTCTCAAGTTGTTTCTCTGTATCTCCCTCTTCTCCCTCTGTCACACACACATTCTCTTCCACGCTCTTCCCATGTCACGCTTATAGTTTTAAAGAACTAAATCCTGACAAATGAAAGCTGTTTAATTATTTAAACACCAAACCCTGAAATCAAAGTGAATGATTTATACCTGTGCGTAAGATTTTAGAAGGCAAAAAACACTCGGCTGTGATTAATGGCCTTCCAGATGGAACAGGGCTAAAAATCGCAGACAGCTTTGCTAACAGTGCTGCTCCCTGATTTGTCAAACACAGTCCAGGGCGCTCCTCTAACCTCCTGAGTGTTACGGGCATGTTTGAGACATTCATTGTTATTTAGCCTTGATAGACTTCTCTGTTCTCAAATGTGAGTAAAATGTACGCTTTGCGGTGGAGCATAAACAGATAATTTTAACAAAGCCGAGATGAGATTTGTTTTCATTTCTTTGTTTTAACCAAAATAAAAACACATGTGCCATCCCTTTTCTCCCATTCAGTAAAGAAAACATTCTTTTTAATGTATCTAAAATTAGACACAGGCGCTGTTGGAAGCCTCCTTTGAAGAAAGTTTTTTGCAGGAACTGGTACTGTATTAGAAAGTCTTATCAGTGTTCTACCAAGACTCAGCAACTCACCTAATTTCCTGATATGGGCATGCACTTTGAAAGTAATTCAGAAAGGAAGGCAAGCTTTCTGAATTAAAAGTTTTTTTTTCCTCAGATGTCAAGAAGACTTGTGTAGATAAAGCAAGATAGGGTGGTTTCAAAGGTGGTTTACCTTTCAAGAAAACGTATTCTTAGGGGATGCAGCTGTTGGGAAATCATCTGGTAAGAGTTTTGAAAAGAAACATTTTGAAAAGACAAGAAAAGAAACCCAACGTTTCGGCTGTGGAGCCTTTTTCAATAAAACTTTGTGTTTATTTTCTTCTGTTTTCAGCATGGAATAAAATTCTGCTTGTTCTTTTGCAGCCTACACATGCTGACACAGGTACCCACTTATCTAAATTTTGTTTTGTTGCTTGTCCTGCGTTAGGTTTTTCAAACTGACAGGATCCATGTGTCTAACATGGAATTGTTTTCAGATTCCTCAGCTTCATATTTAGGCTCTCAGTTTAGGTGTACATTAACCTGGAGGTTCCAAAATGCATGTTGTATTCATAGCTAAAAGAGTCTTGGCTCTATTATCTGAGGAACAAACAAGGTAAAGAAAACCTTTCTCTGTTGTACACAAAGTTTCAGTAATTAAGTACACATTTACTAGACATGACACAGGTAAAGGCGGTGGCATGGTCATGCAATGGTAAGCATTGATGTCTCATATTGCTGGGACTCTGGGTTCAATTCCTGGAGTGCTATCTGTGTGGAGTTTCTATGTTCTCCCCGTGTTCACATGGGTTTTTCCCCATCGCTCCAGTTTCCTCCCACAGTCCACAGTTAAACTAAAACCAGGACAACTGGCTTCTGGAAAAATCGGCGCTGGTGTGGGTGTATGCACGCTTGTGTCTGTGTGTGCCCTGCGATGGACTGTCATCCTGTCCAGGGTGTATCCTGCCTTCTGCCTGTGGCTTGCCAGGTTGGTCTCTGGTTCCCCTGCGACCCTGTTAGATAACGCAGTTAGAAACTGGGTGGACATTGGTAAATTAATTCTGCTGATTAACATTTGTCATCAACAGCGATTATCGAGAGAGTGACTGCTCTGAAAAATACAGGTTGATAGTGTGTGTGACCACAGTTGTAAGCAATCAAACCCGCAGATCTGCCATGCATGCTTTGCACCAAGTTTCAGATACTCTGCTGTGGAGTTCTGTCCCATTACTCTTTTTACAGCCTGGAAAAAAACAGGCCTGGTCACTGGTCTCTGGTCTCTGATTCCTAGATGCCACCCATCATCCCAGGGGTTCAAGTCTGCAGAACAGAGTATGAACAGAACATACTCTCCAATGAAAACCATGAGCAGCTTTCAGCAGGAGGACTCTGTTCTCCAACAGGAAGGGCATCACGTTAGATCACAGGACTTTGTCAGTGTAGCTCTGTGCAGTCAGGTAGAAATCAATCACTAAGAGAGGAGCTCTGTAAGAATTAGACACACCTTGCCAGACCATCGCACTTGGACTTTCCTATTGATTTATATGGGATCTCATGGCTTGTAGTCTTCCAGATTAAGGCATCTTTTCACAGACTGCGTTTAGTAGTACGCCTTCCCAGGTTCAAAATTATTGTCTGTGAACACCTCAGATGGTGAGCAACAGTGTGCCTTGTTGTGTGCAATATACCGATGGAACAAAGGCATTGCTCTTTTTATAAGTGGGGTATGTTGGTTCCTTTGTGGGTTTTTGTTTTATGATTTTCGCCAGACTTCGATCACCTCATCTGGTGCCTAATCAACTCCTTCATTAATGAGGCGATTTATTAAGTATACAACAGTCAAAGTGTATCACAATCAGGCCTGCATGATCACGTAATCAAAATGACACCTAAAATATTTCATTAGGAATAACTCCCAAGAATGAAGCGTATTGAAAGATTTATTGAGTGTTTTAGTCACAGTGAACCTGGCTTCACCCAGTTGGCTGAAGGCTAATCTCCTGACCTGAGCACAAGGAGGACAGGACCCCCATACAGGGTGAGGAGTGACCAAGGGGCAGCTACACAGCTGGAGATGGGGTGGAGGTGGTTTGCAGAAGACTTATATTTCAGTTTTCATTAAAAAAAATAACACGATTCGTAGAGTGACAACTTTCTTCTGATGCTCAGTGATAGCCTCGAGATGATGTCTCATCAAAACGTATGTTGTAAGTAAGTAACCTCATTTGGCAAATATTGCTAAATAGGAATATTTCATTATCGTCTAACATCTCCATCTATACTTCAGTGGATCCTTAAGTTTTGAACATTGCTGTACAGAACTCATACCGACTGCAAACAAAACTTCAAGACATGTCTGTTTACCCCCTCTGCTGGTTGATAAAGAGTGAGTGAGGTATGCAGCCCTTCCAGGCAGGCAGGAAATCGGTCCAGTGAAACAGAGCCGCTCTTTTTTGGGGGGGGAATTAGAAAACGGAAAAGAAATGAACATACTAAATAAAAATTTCATAAAGTTCAGCATGTTGCTTCTTTGATGAAAAATTTGAAAAAAGTGTGTTGTATCTTGAGGCTCTGTAGAGGCAGCAATTATGTTGACATGTCACCCCGAGCGCTTACAGTACGACAGGAAAGAAAAGTCGTTTTGTAGAAGTGTGTCACAGCAGCCCAGCAGTAAAACTCCACATCCGGGGAACTGTTTTTTTTACAGGAGGGCTGTATTTGCAGAATAGGCAGTAACTAGTCTAATCAGGATATAATGGGTGTCTCAATATACCGAGAAAGTTAACCTGATGTGAGGTGTCTGCTGGGAAATGACTTTACAGCACTACACAAACTTTACTTTTTTGATATCCTACTGTACAAATAGACACTGGGTCTGGCTCAGATTCTACCTTTTCCAATAACTAGAAGCATCACCATACTCAATACCAGCTGACATGGTTCTAGATACAACTCACCAAGGCAGTCTAGTGACAACAGCAGCACATTTCAGTCTTTAAAGCGGTGGTGTATTATGACAATAATACTCCAGGACCAGAGGTCCTTGTACCCTGCTGTACTTTTGAATATAAGTAGTTCAACAAATTAAGAATTAAAATGGAACCAATACCAATGTCCGTTTCCAGTTCTGCGTAGTAGATACCTGTAAATGTCATTTTTGATGAAGTCAACTGCAGTATTGGGGATATAAGAAAGGTACAGCAATTGTGAGATCAGAGATTGACACGAGTATAATGACATCATGAGCAAGAAAGTACCTCTTTCAATACCAACAGTCAGCTTATCAGGATCCTTGAGATCCTTGAGAGTGCTCAGTTGTCTCTGGCACTTTTTTAAGGGTCCTGACTCTTGACTAATGGTACACTAACTTTCTTGAGGATAAGGTTATTCCTTCTCAGGCAGCACTGGGTCAGGGAGGGAGGGAGCCTATGTTCTGTTAACAGCACAGATTTCCTCCCCTGTCATGACTTGGAGCAGGCTAATTTTTTTCTTTCAATAGGCTTTTATAAGCCTCTTAACTGTCACAGGGCATGGCTCATTCTACTCATTCCGAGTGCTCCCCACTCATTAAGCCCAGGTGCGACTAATTCAACACACACAACTGCTTCCGGTTGCTCAACAATTCACTCACTCTCAGGAACCAGCTTGCCTCAGAGCTACGCCGTGACGCCTGGGTTTGAGCCAAGTCGGTGGCTTTCCGCAGAAGCTTGACTCTCTCTCCTGCCACAATGCTGATGTTATCAGCAGAGAACCCAGAAAACAAGCACAGCAATTCAAAACTTCCTCAAATCTGGAATTTCTGAAAGGGGAACTTTGTTAACGTATCTTTGAACGGCCACTTTAATGCACAGATTAATGCACGGTGTCTAACGTGATTGTAAATTCCTCAGTCAGGAGACAGCAGGAAGAATCCAAATCCACAGGAACCACCAGCGCATGCCAGGTTAATCGATTCAAATGTTTGAACAGAAAAGGCTGGGAGGCATCCCAACTTCAAGACTAATTCTACACCAACTCTTCTTCCGCTCTTAAATTCCCTGTCTCCAGCCCCCCCACACTGAATGGAGCCTGAGAGGTACGCGTTTTAGCTTTGATTTTGCATGCCTCCAACCAAAGCTCATGTGGAATAAACTCGTTAACTTGCAGCTACAAAGTAATTTGTGCTCTTCTCCCTCTATGAGGCTTGTGTTAACTGTGTGTTGTGTGGCACCCTTCCAAGCAGTGAGAAATGACTTGTCA